CCCCCCCCCCCTTCAAGAAAATATAAATAAATAAATACAGATCTGTTCAAAAGCTTAAGATATAGAAATCGGCTTGAAACAACAAATGTATTACAATTTTAAAACTTTTTAAAACAAAATTTTAAAATTGTAACTCTAAGAATCTATCACTAGAACCAGTTTAAGAATGGATGAGGTCTAAAATAATATAATTGTTCGTAATTTATTGTAAGTTTTTTTTCCATCTCAGTTGACAAGAATATTTTTATGTTTACCTTTTGCAATAGCGAGTGATAAATGTTTGAACTTTGTATTCATTACTGTCCTATCAATGTTATTTAATTATGCAACCAGCAGACATCCTCCTTGTCTAGTCAAACCTTTATCATCTGGATGTTTGTTCGAAACTCTACTTTTAGTCCGAAACTATTCTGAAACTATTCACTTTCCCGATCAGACTGTGACCTGTGACGCAGATGGAAATAACCGACTCTCACCTCAGCAATTCAGAAAGCAGTTCTCAGTGCATCCATGCAAGCCTTTTCAAAATCACCTGGCATTCGCACTTGTCCGTGTACGGAATTTTCGGTGTACGCATTTGTCGGTGGGCCCAGTTTTCCTGTGTGCGGGTCCGTATGTGTGGAGTTTTCTGTGCGCGGTTATGTATGTGTGGAGTTTTCTGTGCGCGGTTATGTATGTGTGGAGTTTTCTGTGCGCGGGTCTGTATGTATGGAGTTTTCTGTGCGCGGGTCTGTATGTGTGGAGTTTTCTGTGCGCGGTTATGTATGTGTGGAGTTTTCTGTGCGCGGGTCTGTATGTGTGGAGTTTTCTGTGCGCGGTTATGTATGTGGGGAGTTTTCTGTGCGCGGTTATGTATGTGTGGAGTTTTCTGTGCTCGTGTCTGTATGTGTGGAGTTTTCTGTGCGCGGGTCTGTATGTGGGGAGTTTTCTGTGCGCGGTTATGTATGTGTGGAGTTTTCTGTGCGCGGGTCTGTATGTGTGGAGTTTTCTGTGCGCGGGTCTGTATGTGTGGAGTTTTCTGTGCGCGGTTATCGTGCGCGTGTTTGCCCTGTGCGCATGTCTGGTCAGCCCAGTGATAATCCAGTGATTATTTCAGAAATTTTCCCCGAGGGGGCACTTCAATTTATTTTTTATTTATTTTTTTTTTTATTTTGGGGGAAAAGCGAAATTTCCCAGGTATATTTTA